TTTCACGTTTCCATATCTATTTTTTTAATTTTCAGTTGGCAATCAAAAATAAATTGGTGGATTTGGGAGCTTATGTTGGTAAGTGATCCATTGTTATCTTCTTCATGTATACATTAATAATGAAAATGGTTTAATTTAAAATAGCATATTGTTGTTTTTATATATATCATTTTTCAGCAGGTGGTTTATTCAGAAGCTGTGTGCTGACACATTCTCATCTTAAGTACTCTAGCATTTTTATCATCACCATTGCGAACCTGTAATCACATGTCATGTGCAAGTCATGTGATCTATAGCATAGAATCACATGATACAATATTGGTCAACAGTGAAATATCACCAAATACACATTGTATAATTGTAATGGTTTGTTTATGCCTAGATGATGAGTTACCAGATTATATAATGGTTATGATCGCTAACAAGAAGTCACAGCAGCAGATGACTGATGACCTGTCATTATTTTTGGGAAATAATACAGATAAATTCACAGACTGGTAATTCTACCTTTTTCAAAATTAATCCCGTCTTAAATTGATATAATTTTGAAAGTAACAATAATTATACCATACTTCCCTGATCATAAGCCCTGGGGCCTCAACTTATAAAATCGGGGAAAGTAAGGGGTGGGCTTATACTTAAGGACCACAGAAAAGATGATTTTTTTTTGGTTTAACATTGTAACCATCTTACCACCCCTGAAAAATTATCCAAATTACATCTTTCGTTTACCATCCCACGTTCAGAATATTACGTCTTTTTGAAAAAGAAAAAAGCAAAGTAAATCATCAGAGATTTCCACAACACTTTTATAATGAATAAAACAAACATGTTCATAAAAATAAACACATTTTATTACAATACCATTTACATACTGTCTGAATTTACGGTGTAAAAATAGGTAGAGTCTATGGAAAAACAGTTGAAGGCAAAAATGTTATCATTATCTTTTTTTCAAACATACGCAAACTCTTGATGCAAAGCAATGTCGGCCATGTTGTTTTCATCATGATTTGACCTGAAACAACATCTTTTGAACGAACATTAATTAGTCAAAATGCCGCACTGACAAAATTTTCGGATTATTGATGATGTAATTTTTTTAGTGCAATGCAGAAGTAAATTGCCACAATGTTAAAATGTGATCTGTTGTCACGTATTTTGACGAGAAAAGGAGATTTTTCCCCTAAAAACTATTGATTCACAATTTTCGGAAGGTACGATAACACCTTTCACCGTCTCCAACAGGTCGCGTTAAAGAATAGTTTACTCATTCACATCCCATTCACGATAACCTCAATGGACACGATTATTCAGAAAAGTAAAATGATGTCAAATGACCTGGTTTCACAACTGGTCGGTCACATTTTTGGCGTTGTGAAAGCTATCATTCAAAGAGATATGGATTACTTCAGTAGAGAGAATAGAGAGGGTGTGAGTACCAATAACGATTTTTATGCAATGAAACATGTTTCTTTAATACAAGCATATTTTAATAAATGTCACAGACACCTGGTAAAAACGCCCTGGGCCTATAATCTGGGAAGCCCTCAACTGTTAAATGTCTAAAATCAGAGGGGTGGGCCTTTACCCATGAAGGTGCTTATGATTGGGGAAGTACAGTAACATCAAAATACTGCATGTGTTGTAAATGTTTTGTTCACTGTATTTACATGTTTTATATTCTATATCTCTGGGGTTGACCATTAAAAAGTCAAGGTGTGGATTTTGTTTTCCAATCTTATCCATCTCCCCTCCAAGAGTTTTGAGTGGTCTATCCCTTAGAGAGATGTGGCAGTGCATGCATACCATAGGGAACATATAAACCCAAACTTGACTTTGTATGTCTTCAGTGTTGTCTAGTTTTTTGTATGAACATATCTCTTTGTCTACTATTAGGCTACATGGTGTTTTACATAAGCTGCAGACGGCGACCTTGGAATCATCAACAAAACAACAAAATATGGTTCTTGAAGACAGTCTTACTCAGGAGGAGGTACTTGTTCCACAAATAGAGCCTGCCAAGCCAGAACACCAGCCTCGCCAACATGAAACAGCAGTGGAACCAAAGGTCACTGACAAGTTGCCATCACCAGAACCAGTATCCATGTCAGAACCACAGGAAGCGATAATATCTCTCAAACCTGAGACAGATGATTTGATGGATGAAGAACTCAAATTTGAAAGTTCACCTATTCCAGTTGTTATGACAGAGCACAAACAGAAAGCGACAGTGCCCCCTACACAACCCAGGTATATGGCTACTGCCAGCACCAGGGTTTCATCTGCCACAACAACACCAGCAGTGAGTGAAGCCAAATTTGTCAGCAAGGTATTTATAAAGAAATTGTTTTTTCCATTAAAAAAGCATTTTTACCTTGCTCATATCAGATGAATAGTATGAGGGGAACACGTCTGTCGTTGTTGTTTCTGCATTCAAGCAATTTTTTTCTGATCATCTTCAAACTCAGATGTCTTGTTAATCAGTAGAAAATCTTGTCAAAGTTTACTTGTGGTTTGATTTGCTTATTTATCATCAAAGATATTTTGTTTGGGGGACTATCATATATATTCTTGAAAATCAAACATTAAGTAAGAGTATGAATACTTTAGCACTGCTGTTCATGAGAATGTCAGTAATTTACTCTCCAAGATTTTCTGCCATAATTCTGGCCTGTATTTTTCCAATATTCTTCTTAAATTTTGGAAATATAATATTTGGAAACTTTTATGCAATTCGTGTTTTATTTTATAAGGGAGCTTGATATTTATATTGTACATAGATACAATATGTTATTTTACAAGTACATTACAGTACATTTATTAGCCCATGTCTAGACACAGTGTAGAGGCTTATAGATTCTCTTTTATTAACTACTTTTTGATGGTTATGGAATGTGATACTGTAAAATACTTTATTTTCAATTGGATTTAATTTTCGCTATTTACGCTTCTATATTTCACAATCAACTCGTCAGAAATCAGTGAAAATAAATTCCACACAAAACACACAAAAAGTCTTTTCAGCAAAAAATTTATTCCAGCTAAAAAAATAAAGTATTTTACAGCAATCATGATCCATATGAGGAACACATGGATTTATTTTCCAAATTATGATGTACTGGATTACCAGGACCTTGATGTAGCTAAAGTGCAAACAGTCAGTCTTAGTAATATTTTAAACTGATGTTTTTGTATTTACCCATTGCCTGATGGCGCCATTGTATTCCATTCATATCAGTTATCTATTGAGGTAATCAGCAGACAATGTGTTAAGCTGCTGAAACTTTTGCTTGATATTTTTGCCTATGAATCCTTTCTCCGATTGCAGGTGCAGCCCGTTGCCAGAAAGCGGAGAGCTCCAGGTTCTGTGATTGGCCAGGTTTTATCCCATGATTTTGAAGATGACGATGATGACGTAAAACATATGAAAGCTGGAAGTGTCGCCAGTGTTGTGAGAATATCAGAAAGAAGGTAAGTATTTTTGTCAGCATTCCTTCAACTTGTGTGTCCTTTATTTCAGCGTTACTGTACTCGTCTGAATCGTGTTTTTTAGGGCGTGTGGGTACTTAGTTGACAAGCCTGGTCCAATCTCATTCAAACTTCACAAATACATCACATATCTTGGAAGACATTTGCACATCCATTCATATCATGATCCCTTTCAAGATTGCAGAATAGCACCCATTTTTCTGCTAAAAATTCATTAAAAATCGAGCGTTTCTGCCATTCCAGAGCCAGATCTTGGCCATGTATGGCCGACTATTGTTCAAACTTGGTACAAACATCAGACAATATGGAACCTGTCATTGTTTCTCAGATTGTTTCAAAATGGCCAATTGAATTTGACCTGCAAAAACTTTCTTTGACCTAACAAGTCAAGTCTAATAATAACTAAGCAGAATGCTGTACTGACACAATTCTTCCAGGATTTCTGAATATTATTGATTGCAATGCACAAGTGAATTACCATGATGTTTAAATATGACCTGTTAGCACCAGTTTCGATGAAAAAATGAAATTTCAAAAATTTTAAACTCACTCTTATCGTCAAGTCTTTTTCTCATTGTATTTAATTTCCAATTGCTAGGACAAGTTTACCTCCTTCAAAGCAAGCCAACAGAGCATTGGTTTTGAAAGCTGTCAATGAAGCACACGATTCCACTTCAATGATTGCTAGGAGACAAAGGTTAGTATTACAAGAATTATTGATACATGTAGCAGTTCAGAATCTCGGGTGATGATATCTTCAATTCTCTAATTTTGATGAATATTTTGTCATTTTTGGTAAAAAGTGATATTTTCGACTTCTTGCTGAAAACCACAAGTCTGATTGCTTTGATATCATATATATAGGTACTACAGGTAAACCTCTCTCGGACTTGTTCATTTCGTGATGATATCTTCAATTCTCTAGTTTTGATGAATATTTTTGTCATTGTTGGTAAAAAATGATATTTTCGACTTCTTGCTGAAAACCACAAGTCTGATTGCATTGATACTATACATATTGTTCATTTTCTAATGATATCTTCTGTTCTTTAATTGAAATGTGCATTCCTACACATCGAAGCTATCTCAGCCAACAGGCTGGCTGCTTGTTTTTTAATTCCTTCACAGGAAGCTTTTTGTGAGGGTCTTTCTATCTCTACTTGAACACACAAATTAAAATGGTATACATTGCCATGAACTTATTTTATTTTTCATATTTGTTAAAACTAAAAATTCTAAATATATAACATCTATTCATTATATTTGTGCTTAGTATGCAGATAACTGGAATTTTTTGTTAATTAAATTCTTCAGCTGTTCATATGTCCAGATGATATTTGTAATGCATTGCCTTGTTTATTGGCTGCACAAGGCCATTTTGCACACACAATGTTATGTTGATTGAAAATTACAAATAAAACTTCACAGAATAAAAAAAGCTCACAAAACTCATGGAAGAAATTACATGTATCACTATCCAAACTTATGAAAATAATATGCAAATTAGCTCTATTTTTTATCAATGATCATTAAAATGTACAATACATTGCAAATCAAGCACTGCACTCAATTAAGTGCAGCGATTTCAATAATATCTGACATAGCTAGGTTTATTCTCTTGCCTAGACCCTCCAACCTTAGTAGCAGACAAGCCAACAAAAACATTCTAATGAAAGCAATCGGCGATGCCCAGGAGTCTATTTCCCATCGTCGACCAGTAACTGGAAAACTTATACAAATTGTACGTCGAGTAGAGCCTTCTTCGACTGCCACATCTACTGCTGCTGCAGAATCCATTGGACACGTGTCGAGAACTTATATTCACGAAAAAGAACAGCGAGTGGCCACTGCCCCGTATTTGGAAGAAGAAAACCTGCAAATTGAGGAACTTGAAGTGGAAGAGAGTATCTCAGACAAGGAAGCGATAGAACAGAAAGATCATGTTAGATTCTATGTTATTAAAAAACAAGGTTAGTGTATCATCCAAAAAATTAATTAGTAAAAATTTGCCAGTGAGTTTGGTTATATTTTTTACGTATTTTTACTGCAGCTTACATTGAAAACAGCTTAATAAGTTTTCTATAGGACGCTGTATTTGCAATAAATCGTATGTGTAAAAATATTCTCTATTGCAGACACTCCTCCTGTAATGAGCCGGACAATCGCACGGGAATATGCCATCCCTAGTAGAAATGTATCCAGTAGTAGCCCGTATAATATGGATGTAGTAACAAGGCCTATCAGACATGGGGATCAGAGAATAATACAGCAAGCTGATCACGGTGATGATAATGTTGACGACGGTGACTACGATGATGCTGATAGTATTAACAGTGCTGAAGAACAAGTCGAAGTAGTACTGCCAATACCACAACCACCACCTCAACATCAGTTTGATGTTAAACGAGTCAGGACAGATTCATTTGAAAGCACAAGAGTTGTTCAGCCAGTGTAAGTGCAATCATGTTTTCTTGTGTTTGCAGTATTACTGCATGAATAGTATATTCATTGTCGCTCTAAACTTTTATTTACTTTCAAATAATCATCTATTCTGCATTTTCAATATAGTGAACGACCCAGAACTGTCAGTCCCAAGTTCATTGTCACGCTGGATGGCGTGAATCCTCCCTCAACTAGGAAAAAACGCTTAACAAGAAAAAAGCGAACACGTCCAACACTGATGATCCAACCAAATGTCGCAAACCGACCCGCACCGGATAACACCTTTGATGATGAGGGAGTCGGTGATGAACTGGATGAAGATGAGGATTATGAAGATGAGCAAGAGGATGAAGAGGATGACTATATGGAAGAGGCACCAGTACAGCAGCAGATGGTGCAGCCTATAGTAATACACAAAGTAATGCCCACACAAGGTGAATATTTCTTACATGTGCCCATGCTTTACCTACAGTGGTGCTCTTTTGTATAACTTCTAATTTACTGGTATTGCCCAGACATCATACTACTTTTATACTACCGGTACCGTTATGTGAAAAAGATATTGCTGTTATGTTCACATAAGAAACTAATTTATTCATTAACTGCATAAATTCAAAGAATTGAGAAAAAGTTTAATAAACATCAATAAATTTTTTTGTAAAAAAAAGCAAATTTTTCCCTTTCCCGTAATTACAATTCACAGTACATTCACTGTGACCATTCACATTACTATTATTTTCAAAAATAACAAGTTATTGATGAACATTTTGTTGTTGTTGATTTGTGTTTATTAGATGAAGAAATGCCTTCTGAAAGAAGTCCCCCAAAGAAATCTAAAATGGTAGAAAGATGTAAATTTTGGCCAACATGTAAAAGTGGTTCTGCATGTCCATATCATCATCCAAATGTTCCATGCAAGTGAGTGTTATTTTTCACATTTTTTTTGTCATAATATTGTAATAAACTGTGTTCGTTGTGTTTGTTTTTCAGATAGGTTCCAATGGAAATTATAAAGCAATGTGCATCTATTACAATGTTTGTGATGTATTCCGACTCATATTTACCATTACATATACCAAATTCATCAACTGGTGTGTAGTAAACAAATTGGGATTACGCACATGTGTTTACATGTACCATATTTGTTTTTAGACTT